TGTACGATAGCATCCACATCACAGTCCTTGCTGGCATTCTTGACTATTTTAAAAATACGCTTCTTGTCCTACTGGCAGTAGCACCTGGAAAACACCTGACCTCTTTTGAAACCTCTGTGTCTTTTCCTAAATTTACATCCCTTATAATTGAATCACCAACCAGAAAGTGGCTTCTCTTTTTTGATGCCTTGCTCTTTTTACATGACTGATGTGTAATACCTGATTCTCACTTCTCCCTGTCAAAAACAAGTTATTCATCTCAGACTACGATCCCCTGCTTATTTGAGTTATCATCACAACTACCTTGACCTCTCCCTTTAATGTCCCTATTAAGGTCAGCAAGGGCACTGTATCTGTTATGCAGGGACACAGCAAAAGCTTTGTGTTTATAGTTCACAGCTCTCACCCTGCCAAATCCCACGGTTGTCCACACTGCCCTTCTCCTGCAGGATCTTGTCCTGCAGTTGTTGTCTTCTCCCATAAAATATATATTGATATAATTTGGGGCTGGATTGTAAATTGGGTTTACAGATTTTTCCACTAGTTTTCCATCATGCTATAGAATTGAGGAAAAGAAGTGGAAATTATTCTTTATTATCATTATATTTCCAAAGCCAGTGACATCATAAACAAGAAAGCCCTTGCTAGGGGACAATCCTTTGGACATTTTGCATCAGCAACAGAGCGAGTAAGACCTCAATTGAAGATCTCAGTGGCTGAGCTGGTATTGCTTTGGTTCTCCTCAGTTTTCATCTAGCTGGTAGCCATTTTGTTAAATTATTTGAATAGTTTCTATTTTAAGTCGATCGCTTTATAACCTATTCTTCAGTTGTCCCAGTCCTCAGTATCAGACTGACTGGCCATGTCTGGTGCTTTCCCCTTTCCAAAGATGTGTACAGTAGCCACCTTTTAGTAATTGGGTGATTCATAAATACATGCTAACCTAAGTTATATTCAGTGAGTCTCACTATTCCATTTATATGCCACTGCAATTAAAATATAACTCTCAGTGAAAAGAAAACAGTACAAAAAGAATTCAAATACCCGTGGTAAATTATATAAAACGACCATAGTAAACTCCGTTAAAATTGCAAATAAGTCAGCAACAGTGCATAAACGCCTTCAGTTGATTATTACCAACCAATCAGCTCAACACATTTAATACACGTGATACCATCTTAAAGCACAAACACACTTAAAAAGAATTTAGTTTTCAGTGTTTTCCTAAATGTAAACAGGGAGGGTGGTATTTCAAAGAATGGGTGATGTCATTGAGAAGTGGCACTTTCTAGCTTCAGTCCCCTCCCTTCCTGGAAAACTGAGGTTATTTGTTTGTTCTGAGATGGCAGCATTGGCTGGAACAATCCTGGTTGAAGTACACAGTCCCGGAGGTAGTTGCCAAGCCACATTGGGCTTTTAAAATCCAATCAGCACTTTAAATTGCTTTTGTAAACTTATAAGGATCTAGTGTAGGGACTTTCACAAAGGCGTAATGTGCTTTTGATAGCAGGTGCTAGGGAGCACATGGTTACTGCATTATGAATTAGGTGCAACTTCCAACTAGTTTTAAACTATACATAGTTTATAACGTGGAAATTTGTCTACTGTACATTTGGACCTTTGGTGTATCTGAGGTGCTTGTTCTGAATGTGAGCTATTTAAAAAAAAAACAGTGGGGTAATTTAAGAGGAAAGTACCTCTTTAAGAGCAGTGTATGTGAAGGTGGGACTAACAAGCTTCCTGTCTGCTGTCCTCCAGCCTTGAACTATCTTTGCTGTTCAAGAGCTGGCAGTTGTACAGTAGGACATGTTTTGATAGCCTGATGTGTCAGGGTGGCTGTAGAGGCAAAGAAGATATTTAAAAGCGAAAGAGACCTTTGGATGAAAGTATGAACAAGTACCTCCGTTGTCTGTCTATGCATGAGAGCCCAGGTAAAAAGAGAAAATAAAACTTTTGTCCACTGGTTATGATTTTTATCTTTGTTATGTCAGAAACAAATAACATAGTGGCAGTCTTTTTACGTACTGGCTGTACTATTGAAAACGTAATACAAAAGAGCTGCTTAGTTTTATATATTAGTGGGCTATTTAGCTCTTCTTTGCCATCTGTGTCCAAAACATTGGCTAACGTATTTTCTTTTTAGGTAATTCTGGACTTATTTATGAAAACATTGACTAGAAAAAGTTTAGAAATCAATTAAATAGTTGTATATAGTGTTAGGTAGAAAATAAAGTATTACTTAGATTCTTAAGTCTTCACCTTTCAGCTTTTAATAGCAGAACAGTGTTTATTGTCTGAGCAATTGGAATTGCATTAAGATTGTGATTAAAATGTTACATGACAAGAACTTGTTATGGAAGGAAAGGATCTGAGATATGAAATGTTTATGCATTTTGGATCTTGTACATTTCCTTGTAAGCTTAAAATCCTTGGAAGGTTTTTATTCAAGGAACGTATTCAGAATTTAAAGTGATTTTGTGCAAATAGTATTATTTTCCTGAGCTTTTCCCAATATATATTTCTGAGAAGAGGAAAAAATGTAACTGAATTTGGATAAGTCTAATCTGTAATTAAGTCCATGATGGCCTTTTTTGGCATGTTTTTTGACATGTTTTTTGACAGTGACTAATTTTAGGAACATGAAAGCCTCCTTATATGAGGTCTAACTTATTCTTATAGATTTTGATCTACTGTCCGTGATGGCAGTTTTTCAGATATTCAGACAGAAAATGGACTTTTCCAGTACTCGTTGTCCAGAACTTTTAACCGCTTAAGAAATGCTTGATATTTTTTTTTAAAAAAATAGGCTACTAAAATAAATCTTTTGTAGGGTTTGGGAGTTGGTTTGACCAACATTCAAGTACTTGTGCATATAAAGGTCTTTTCTTACTAATTATAGACATGTTAAGTTTTGAACTGCAGATGTTCAAGAAAGATTCAAATTCTTGCCATGTGTTTAAATGCAGATTCTGAAGGAGTGAAACTTGCAAGGGTTTCTAAAGTAATTTTTGAATTGCAGTTTCAGTAAAATCTTCGTGAAGTGCTACAGAGCATGAGGTAACTATAAACGTATTTCTGTGCGCCTTTGAGTCAGTTTTTGACTCCTGGCGATTGCCTGAAAAAGCCCATGCAGTTTTTCTGGGAAGGCGTTTGCCATTGTCTTTTCCCCAGGGCTGAGAGATAGTGATCTGCACAAGGTCAGCCAGCTGGCTTCATGCCTAAAGTGGGACTAGAACTCACAGTCTCCTGGTTTCTAACCTGGTGCCTTAACCATTCAAACTGGCTCTCACAAATGCATAGACCTGCTCAAAACAACATTTCGGGCATATTTAAGTTTTGAAGTTCGGATAATTTCAAAAGATAGAGTTGAGTTTGAGAGTAGAAGAAGAGACAAACTTTGGATGTAGAGTATATTTCCACATGGGGTGGTTTGGATAAACCACTCCTTTATCTACAGTGGTCTTATCTTTAGCTTTCAAGAGGGGAAGAAAAAATGACAATTTTTTTAAAAAGGGAGTTGGAAACAGCTTTTTTAAGCAATAGTTTTTTCCTAGAACTTTTCTTGTAATAGGTGCCCTATTTCGGCTTGTTCTGAGGAGTCTTTGCTGATATTAATTAGATGAGGTGGAGCTCAATCCCTGTTGCCTAAGCTATTCCTTTCTCACAATGTGAGGTCGATTTGTTCCTGTCTACTGGAGCCCTGAGCATTCTTAAATTACTAGTAGTAACAGTGTTCCCTGAATGGAGGTAGCAACTTTCTTCCAAGTTTTTTCTTTTCTCTTGGCATATGTGGCTAAGGAAGAGGGTCTTTGGGATGATCGCGAGACTTCCAAGCTATCATGGCTAATGGCTGTAGGTGAACTTTGTTCTTGAATGTTCATGAAACCTCTTTTGACTCTGATCAAAACAAGCTCCATAACCTCAGTACAGAACTCATCTGAATTCCGTGAATCTGCATTTTTCGTTCTATTGTAAAATGTTGGATTTATCAGGTAAAAATATTGTGTGAAAGAAGACGGTAGAACTCTCCTATATTTCTTCCACATCAGGGATTCAGTTAGAAATTAAAAGCATATTTCTTCTTAACCAAAAAAAAAGTTCATGACATTCGTTCACCATGAACTGGAAGTGAAAATGGTTTATGCGTGTCTCCTTTTCATTTGTGCTCCAGTCTTTGTCTGCTGACTGTCCCTTTCATTGCCTAAGGTTCCTTCACCTTTCTTGCAATAGTCCTGTGGTTTTGTCTCTCATTTTGGACCACAGTCTCATTATTGGTGTGTGCTAATTCATGTCCCACTTTTGATGCAGTTCGCCTATTATTATTTGGAGGATTAGTTTCTCCATAATAGATTTATCCTCTATCACTGTTAATTATGTTAGCATTAGGATAACTCCCATAGGAACAGGACAATCTGATTAGCTGAGATTTACTCCTGAATCCAGTTAGAAAGAAGGTATACCTAGTTAAAATTCCTCACTTTCTTCAAGGCCAAGCAATTGAAAATCTCCATTATTTTTACAAACCAGTGTGAAATACTAGAGACAGTGCTAATACAACCTACGCTCTTTGCTTGAGACCAGAAAGATAATACTTTGTCATGGATAGGTCTCCTGTATATGGGGGTTGAAGTTGCATATTATCAATTTTAGATAGGAGGAAAGATCTGGAAGGTTGTTTTTATATGCCGCCCATCTCATTGTTGAAACGAGTTCAAATTTAGATAAGAAATGCAAGCATATTCATGTTCCTGCAGGGATTTGTGTCACAAGTCTAAAGAAAAGAGGGAGAAAACACAAAAGTCTCTTCAGCCATACTTTTATGCAGTGAGATTGGATGACATAACAGGAATGATTGCTGATGTAGACTGTTCTGAGGGCCTTATGGCATTTGGGTCTTTGCCTTCACATCTTTTATAATCAAATGAGTTTTTATAATTGGAATTTGATGGGCATTCTGGGAATGGTTGATGCTAATATTCTTGTTTTTCTTCCTTTTCCAGGGTGTGGTTATGACCCCTATAACCCAGAACTTCCCAAACCTGTGGCACAAGACAGCAATGGCAGTTTGGAAAATATTGTCCAGTCAGCCTCTGGAATTCTGGAGCTTGAGTTGTTTGACAAGGCAATTGAAGCTGCCAAGAATGAAGTTGAACGTGAGCAAAAGAAGTATGAAGAGCTGCTGGAGACAGCTAAAGAGTATGGCTCATCTGAACCTCCTTTACTTGCTTCTAAGGCTGCTGGATTAGCAACATCCAACTCATTCAGTTCTCTGGAGTATAACCCAGGTAGTTACAATGCAAATAGTGATAATGATTACAATCCTACCCCTCTTACAGTGGCTGCTGCTAGTCAGTCTAGCAAATACACTTTGGACTCCTTCAACAATACGAAATGCAAGGGCAGCTCACTGGAATATATTCCCACTGTGGTCACTCAGCCGAAGAAGTACAGCAGCCCTGTTGTAAATAGCAAATACATAATTGACAACTCCAAGCCTTCAACAGATTTAGAATATGATCCTCTTTCAAATTATTCCGCCAGGCTGTTGAGCAAAGCTAAAGAACAAAAGGGGACCAAGCGGAAGAGAGAAGTTGATCACGAGGAGGCATATTCTCCTTCATTCAAGAAATATTGTGACGAAACTAGTAATGATGAGCCCCTTGCCAGGTTTTCTGACTCAGAGGATGAATGCCAAGAAGCTTCTACCATCCCCCTTAAATCTAAAGGAGGTTCAGAAAGCAAATTGGGTGCAGCCAAAGAAAAGGGAACCCCACAAATAGATACTAGTTCTCGACAAATGAAAGAGACTGCCGTGCAGTATGACATGGGAGACATCGAGAGCCCTCGAACAAGTGTTGTCAAAGATTTAGTGGAAAAAAATGCCAAGTTGGTCAAAGTGCCTTCTAACAGAGATGCGAAAGCAAAGGAAAAGAACAAAGTGGCGTCAAAGGATAAGCTGAAAAAGAAAAATGACCACAAGGCACAGGGTAAGAAAAATCTAGATAAAATAGGAGACAAGGAGAAGATGGACATGAAGGCACAGCACAAGAATGGGGAAAGGAGTAAGGAGAAACAAAGCAAGTCCCACATTGATAGGCATGGACTGAAGCTCACTAAATCAAAATCTGTGATCACACTTGGAATTAAGGAGGAGAACTCTGGCAAGAACAAAGATGTTGGCAAAGCTGCTGCTGCTGGAAAATCAGGGACTAGTAGAAAAAATAGCAAGTTCCAGGCTGTAGAGTTGAAAAGGAAGCCCAAAATCTCTAGTGAAACTGAACATAATAAGAGAAAAGACAAGCAACCTGCCTTGAAAAGGTCTAAGGAAACACTGACCAACTCCCAGGCCATGGAGAATTCAGAGGCCAAAAGCAAAGTTAAACAGCGGGCCCTGAGCCATGTTGATCTCTTTGGTGATGAGAGTGGAGAGGAGGAGCAGGTGGGCCAGCCTCTTCTTCCATTCCCTGTTGTGAATTCAGACTCAGACAGAGATGATGCTGACTTATCTTTTCCCTGTTACGATGGAATAGCAAATGTTAAGAAACTTAAGTTATCCCAGGCTCCTGCTGCTTCCTCTTCCTCTGATGACGAGATTGATTATTCTGGCCTAGAGAAGGATTTGGATTTTGAGTCTGACCCAATGGAGGAGTGCCTTCGGATTTTTAATGAATCCACTGATGTCAAAACAGAAGACAAAGGCAGACTAGGAAAACAGGTAAAGGTCTAAGAATACTGGGATGGGCTGAGGGATTAACAAGCTTTGCCGCCTGTTTAATTAAAAATATACCTGTCTTGATTGTATAATTTCTGAACGTGATGTGCCTGTGCCTCCCCTTGAATTGTAAGAAGATTTACTTAAAGTATAAATGATGTGACTTATTGAGTGTGTTATAAAAGGAAGAATTACAGGTAATCTTCAACTTATAACAGTTCATTTTGTGATCGTTCAAAGTTACAATGGCACTGAACAAGGTGACTTATGACCAGTTTTCACCACTGATGACCATTGCAGCCTTCCCATGGTCACGTGATCAAAACTCAAAACTTGGCACCTGATTCACGTGACGGTTGCAGTGTCCCAGGGTCACGTGATCACCTTTGGAGACCTTTTGACAAGCAAAGTCAGTGGGGGAAGCCAGCTTCACTTAATAACCATGTTACTAACTTAACAGCTGCATTGCTTCACTTAACTGTGGCAAGAAAGGTCATAAAATGAGGCAAAACTCACTTAATAAATGTCTCACTTAGCAACAGAAATTTTGGACTCAACTGTGGTCGTAAGTTGAGGACTATCTTAGAACATTGTAAGTGACATGCTGGCTCAGGAATTCTGGGAGTTGAAGTCCACGAGTCATAAAAGAGCCAAGGTTGTCTAGCCCTGGACTAGGTGATGATCACAGCCACTTCCATTCCATGCATTCTGTGAGTTTGGATTTTCTGGCTGTAATGGCTTATAGCTTCCCACAGGGGAAAAAAAAGGGAGCCAAAGGTGTCATTAAGGGAATCGTAATATATAGAGACCTATTTTAGTATACAAAAACAGTAGAAATTGGGTCATAAAATACCTTTGTATTTCAAGGATGCTTGGCCCTTGGCTTTGCAAAGTGGTTTACAGCAAGCAGGGTATTGACTAATTAGAGATAAATTTGCAACGACTCTTGGGATTGCTTAGGGATTTGGGGCAATTTTATTGCTTGATGCCTAATATACCTCGTGCTTTAGGAGTTATATTTTCACTGTGTCATTATATAGGAAAACATTGGGTGAGAGAAGCCTGTTGCCTCAAGCCAAAAAGCTTCTTCACTGTTTTCTTTCATTAAAAAGCCTGTAGCTTAGAGGGTGGAGAACTTGGTCTTCCTTGTGGAAAGACTTAGATTCAGATCATGGCATTAAAAAAAAAGGAAGGAGGTCTAATTAACAGTTGTTGTGGAAAGGCCTTTCTCTGCTGGAGGTTCTGGAGGAAAATCACTGCCAGTCAGACTGTTGAACCACCTAGGTCAGGGGTAGGCAACCTTGGCTCTTTTATGACTCGTGGACTTCAACTCCCAGAATTCCTGAGCCAGACGGCTCAGGAATTCTGGGAGTTGAAGTCCACGAGTCATAAAAGAGCCAAGGTTGCCTACTCCTGACCTAGGGAAATCCTTTCTTGATTTCTTGTGGCTTCAGTAATCTCTTCCAATATGTGATACATGTAATCCTTGACTTGCAACCATTCGTTTAGTGAGTGTTCGAAGTTAACAGTGGTCCTGAAAAAAGTGACTTACGACTACTTTTCACACTTACGACTGTTGCAGCATCCCCATGGTCATGTGATCAAAATGCAGACACTTGGCATGTTTATGATGGTTGCAGTGTCCCTGGGTCATGGGATTACCTTTTGCGACCTTCTGAGAAGCAAAATAAATGGAGCCAGATTCACTTTACAGCTGCAGCTACTAACAACAACTGCAGTGATTCATTTAACAGTGGGGACAAGACAGGTTGTAAAGTGGGGCAAAATTCAGTTAACAAATGTGTTGCTTGGCCAGGGAAATTTTGGGCTCAGTTCTGGTCGTAAGTTGAGGACTACCTGTATTGGGGAAATTAGGGATGTGTCAGTTATGTACAGTATGTAGTCAAGTACAGTTGGCCAAACATGATTATTTTTTTGTTTTTAAGAAGTATCCTTCAACCCCTACAGTAGCAATTCTTTAAAAAAATAATCTGTAAAGTTTCCTGGATTTAGAAGTTACATCAGGTGCAAGGTAAGACCAAATAAAGTTATTTGCTTGTCTGCAAAATTACTATAGTAAATTCAGCAATAAATTTTTCCCAGTCTTCCAGATGTGTTCACAGCAGCTGCAGAAGTCCCTGTCAGTTTCAGTCCTGATATATCTGGAAGGTGGTTATCAAAGAATGTAAGAGACTGTTTCCTCTTCTTTGCCCTGTGAGGATGATATCTCCCCCTCCCGAAATTAAGCTTTAAGCTGTTACAGGCAGCGTTGACCTGTTCTGCTTTTCAAAATGAGCTTTGTGTTTTTGTTATTTTGAAAGATACACAAACAAACATCAAACCGTCTATTACTTTGGAAATTTACATTTCTCTCTCCCTCTTCTTTTTCCTTTAGCTATCAAAAGAGGAAGGGGGTGAAGAAAAGTTGACAGAAGACAGTTTAACCACACTCTTTCCTGGACAAAAAAGGAGGATTTCTCATGTAACAAAGCAAGGACACGTAAGTAGATCTTGAAATGGCATCAGAAGGTTGTCTGTGATGCAATCTTGAACATCTCTATTCTTGCTGATGAGATTTTGGGGCATATTCTCATGCCCAGCCAAGTAATATGAGGATGTGAATGCTGTGTTGAAACCTAGTAGTACCTGTTGATTCCCTCAGGCCTTGAAGATGTGCACCTCTGTGTTTGTATTTGTGGTTTTTAGATACGTGCTACAGTCAGGACTCAGGACATCTCTGGACATCTTTAAGGCTGTCTGGCTTACACTGTTTCTAGTATGTGAGATTCTAGAAATAGCTTTGGAACTTTCAAGGTGATCCTAAATGTGTAGCTTTTCATTTTCTTTGTATTCCTGTTGCCGTAAAATATGGAGAACAATAAAGAGAATCTGCCGTAACTTTTTGTATGTAACATTCACATATAAATATTGAGGATCCCAGCTAATCTAGAAGCAGGGAATTCCCTTACTCCTTAATAACTGCTTCACCCATGCAGCCTGCACCGCCAGGGGTCCTCTGCATGGCCTGAGAACAAAGGAACCGCCACTGAAGAAATTAAAACTGGTATTTTTTTCCTTTTTTTCATGGTTTGTAACATTTTATTAGATTATGGAACAAATACAAAAATACAAAAGCAAGTAGTAGGACACAGTGGGAAGGAAGAAGGAAAAAGAAGGGGAAAAGAAAAGGCATTGATTTCCAACTTCCTCTGTTGTAGTAGAATGGGGTCTTCAAACTCGGCCCTTTTATGACTTGTGGACTTCAACTCCCAGAAAGTCTTAGAATTATGTAAGTCATGGAAAGGATGAGGATTGACCTACCCACTTCTGGTAGACCATTTAGGGCAGAGGCGTCCAATTCCCAGGCAAGTCCATGAGTCATAAAAGGGCTGAGTTTGAAGACCCCTGTAGTAGAATGAAGCCTTAACATCGAATCTCAACTTTTTATTTTCCATAATAGTATAAACTAGCCATTTCTATAACAACAAATGAATCTAATCAGTAAAACCCAAAACCCCACCCTTTTTTTTCCAGTCATCAAGTTTTTGACACCTTGCTAAGCACTGGTGGTACTCGAATATTGTCATGTCCTAAAAGTGGTACAATCTGTGAAAAGGTTGAAAAGCCCCAGTTTAGATAACCACCAGTATTTTTCAGAGTATTTACCTCTAAATTTCCGAGATCGTTAATGGGACATACAGATATTCCATTTGCTATAAGTGTTTAAATTATTCTTTTCTTTGCAGAAATTATTTCTAGCTTCCTTCCTCTTGAAAAAAATGTTCTCTACATTTTTCAGTTTGTGGATTCAAAAAAAGATTTAAAAAAAATGAAGTAAGGAGATTCTAGCTGCTGGATCTTTAGTTGTTTGTGTGTGTGTGTGTGTGTGTACGCAGATCTTGATTAGCTTCTTTTCTGGAACATCAATGGGCTCTTTGTTTTCACAAGTCATACGTGTTCCTTCCATTTGTCCATTAAGCGCTGTTGTAGAGCAAGAGGAAAAAAAAGGACTCCTGTGAAATGGATTGGAAATTCTGAAACTCAAATATTTGCAAGTTCTTAGCACATCTGCTCTTCCCAAACCCTTTTGCAAAGGTGTATATAGATTCAGCACCTGTCTTCAGTATGAAAACATCACAGGTGAACAAATACGTCCCAAATTGTGTAGATGGAACACTGTTTGCACTGTCTTCGAATCCTCTTTGCTTGTGTTTTGTCTTGTATGAGTGAATCATATACTCAGGATTGGTAAGGCCAATCATTCTGACCCATATTTTTGCCAGTTTGAAATACATCCAAAATGTGTGGATCCAAATTCCACATGTGACAGGTTTCTGCTTTATCATGCAAACCAGCGTCCCTCCGTTTCCCTTTCAGGTTGAAGTCCCAAGCAAGCCAGTGGTCCGGCCTTACCGGCCCCCAACTGCCCAGGAGGTCTGCTACCAGAGGATTCAGCTAGCACAAAAGCAGGCAGCGCAGCTGGCCCAGCAGCGGCCACAGCAACCCCTGCCGACCACAAAGTTGCCTGTGGCAGCTCGAAGAACTTCCATTGTTATGCACAAAGGAGAAAGGAAGCGAATTGCTCATGTGCCCAGTGCGGCTCTTTCGGCAGTTTCCAAGTTGGGCAAGTGAATGTTTCTGGTTGTTTTTTTTTTTTTTTTTTTTGGCAGAAGAATTTTTCATTCTTTTAGGTAGGAGAAGCAAGGCAGAGTATCCTCATCCTCTCACCTGCTGAAGGGGATCTTGAATCAGCTGAGCAGTTTGAGGGGAAAGAGGAGGAAGGCCATGCAGATGCTATGCCTTTCTCAATAAAGACTCCCCAAATACATGTTGCTCACACATTCGGAGATTTGCAGCTCAGTAATGAAACAGGAACGAAGCTAACTTCTATTCCTGTGCTGTCTTTGGATTTCTCTTTATATTTGTATATTTTAATTTGGTTTGGAGCCAGTATACAGTTTCTACTCATAAAGTTCCCCAGGTAGCAAGACCCTTGCAGGAAAACCAGGTTCTTTGGCAAGGATACGAGGGAAATTCGGAAATAAACCTCCCGTTTGGTTATCAATGACAGACACTCGCAGATACAGAACTTTTATTATACACATTAGAAAAGTACAACATTATATTACTTTTCGACATCATCGCCATTCAAATTGAGGCACTGGTCATAACATGTTAGTAGTAGTCGCTCGGCGCCAAATCTGGACCATTGGGTATGTGTGCGGGCGAGCATTATCGTGAACCAACACCACACCAGAAGTCCACATGCCCCGACGCTTGTTATGGATGGCTCATGTGAGTTTTTGTAACGTTTCACAGTAGACGTCTGAACTGATGGGCGAACCACGCTCCATGAACTTCACTAGCAGCGCTCCTTTGGCATCTTCACATTTGACGGGATTTTCTATGGCACCACTTCCGGTGTGTTGTTGGTTCACAATAATGCTCGCCTGCACACCGCTAGACACACCCAAGAACTTTTGAAGCTGTTTCATTGAGATGTTTTTGATCAACCCCCCCATAGCCCAGATTTGGCGCCGAGCGACTACTAAGGAATTTCAAACCTTGAAAGACGTTATTTGAATGGCGATTATGTCAAAAAGTAATGTAATGTTGTACTTTTCTTTTTTCTTTTAATATATTTTATTGATTTTTTACAATAACAATCTTTAGTGCTTAGTAAACAGAGTGTTGTCTGGGTTCATATATTTAAAAAACAAGAATTTCTATAATTCCATAATCAGTCTCTTAATTAATGATATATTTCTTTGATCTTCTCTTCTTCCAATAGTATTCTCCTTTTATCAACATTAAGCAAATATAATTCTTAATACTTTCAGTACATACAAGGTTGAATATAAACATTTTTCTTATGTTTGTAGAAATAACAGTAACATCAGCATATAACATCTTTTCTGGTCCGCTTATGTTTCAATTGTATTTATAAAAGTCATCTTATTAAGTCACTATATATCCTTTTTTCAACATTCTTATTTAAGCTTAATTTTCCCTCTGTATTCAAACCATTCTTATCAGTCATAATTTTCTCAGTGTTAATTACCTTTAAATATTCAAACTTTTCATTCACATATACCATTCCAATATTTTTATATTTCATATATTATAAAGGCTACTGTAGGGCCCCTGTATATCCATAATTTATCTATTCTTTTAACCATATTCAAATAAGTGTTTAATCGTATAGTACTCCATCTGGTAAGTAGCATCAAAACTCTTGAATCTAACTCTAGCCTTCTTATTTTGCGAAGTAGCTTTCCAAGTAAGTGTGTTCAGCTTGCCAGGGGATTCTTCCTGTATTTTTGTGAATGTTGTTGGGAGTAGAATAGAAAAGACAAATTAGGTAGGATGTGTGTTTTTTGTCTCCCAAACTCTAATAATTCTCCTGGCTACTCTATAATCCATTTTGTTAGATCTTCTTTCCTATCTTCAAGTTTATTTTGAAGTCCTGAAAAGTAAGATATCTTTTCCATTTCCATTGTTGCAGCAAAATCTTGCAAGTTTTCTTTTGTTTGTATTAGACGGTGGTTCTCTTCATTTGTAGTTTTCCTCTTTGGGTCACTGTCCTCTAGTTTGTATTCTGTTATCTGGTTAGTTTGTTCATTCTTTGTCGTCGTTTTCTGAGAGTTTTTTTAATTGTAGGTTTAAGTTGAAGATGTGCTCATTTATGTTGTCGAAGTTGTCTCATCATGATTTGAAACCATTGTCATTTGAATCTCTTGCACCATTGCATACATTTCCTCTTGGAAAATATTTGCCTTGTCTTGAAGTATTACTCCTGCAGATCTCTGATGTTCCAGGCTAGGGCCTTCAGAAGGAGATATTAGGTGTGGTTTCCTACCACTTTTAGATAGGTATGTAACATCCATTTTATCTCCCACCTCCAGATAGTCTTTCACTGATACCATAGTCTCTATAATTAGCCTTGTCAAGCCAGCCAATCTTAAAGTCCAGACAACCAAATCTTATATAGTTCTTGTCTTTATATATGGTTTTTATAATCCAGTGTGTTTCCAATTATCAAAGCACCGCTAAAAGCAGTATTTTATCATAGTTCTTCTATTCAGGGGCCTTACAATTATCAGCCAGTCAAATTTACAGTCCAGAATGTTTAACCACCTAGGAGCTTTCCAGTAAATTTCCCCCCTAGAAGATTAGATAAAAGTCAAGGTTTTTCTTTCTCTGCAAACAATTCTTGAGCTTAGAGATGACAGCTCAGTAAGTATTTATAATCCCGAAAGGCCAGCTGTTTTTAAAACAAATATAGTTCTCACTCTGTAGTACAGGGGTGTCAAACTCGCAATATCACATGATGTGTTGCGACGCATTGTGACTTTTTTTCCATTGCTGGCGATGCAGTGGGCGCAGTTTTGCCATGATGCATCCGCTCCGCAGGCTAGCAGTAGGTAGCCCAGTGTGTTTTCTTTCCTCTGCTCCCAGCTGTTCTCTATTTGGCAAGAAGCCACTGAGGTTCAAAGGAACAAGTTCTTTATTTCTGGGCGTCTTGCCAATTTCTGAGTCAATGCAGCTGTTATTCTATGCTCTAATCCTCCACTAGATGTCAGTAGCTATTCATTTTCCAACTTTTAAAGCAAAGAGTTATTTTCTTGTAATTTCATCAATGCTTTTTCAGTTGTAAAGTCTTAAAGTCATAATTTTCAGATTCATCCAGACTGTAGTATTAAGTTCATTTCAATATATTTCTGTACCACATAAAAATTAAATCGCCGCTTTGGTCTATGGAAGGGTGGGGGTGTGGTCCCCTCCCTTCTCACTTTCGGAGGAATTTTTGCTTTTGGGGGATCTTTTCCAGGAAATCAGTTACAAAATAGAAGAGAAAAGATAGATATTCTCACCCAGTTCCAAGCATGCTGCTTACGGTTGTTCTAGTTAGTACTTTTGGACTTTGGCTGCTGGTAGCTTGGGCTAGTCACTGGTGTGCAGCTAGCCTTTCTCCTGTCGGGTTGGAGGGCTTCCCCCAGATCAAATGGATCGACTGCTGTCTTTCCATGATCCACGGGGGCCCCCTCCTTCATTGCCTCTCTGGGGCAACTTTAGACCCATTTAGGGTCCCCTGGCAGGGCGAAACCAGCTGTGTGGTGTGAAGCTCTGCAATCCCTTGGCCACGCCACTACAGTGCAAAACCAGAAGTCCGTAATGTTGTAGTTTTCTAATGTGTATAATAAAAGTTCTGTATCTGTGAGTGTCTGTCATTGATAACCAAATGGAGGTTTATTTCCGAATTGCCCTCGTATTAAACCATGGCTAGATTATTACGCCTTTTATCATTCCATTAGTGCCTTTAGTCTGGTGTATCCCTTTTTGTTTCATCTCTCTTTCCCCCAGTCTCTGTAATCCAGCAATAAGTAGCAAATATGCAAGCCAGGAACTTTTTATTTATTTATGTTTTTACATGTTCACCCTTTATCAATGCTGACACCTTTTCCAGAGTTCATAGATTTCACTAAACAGAGTGAAATGATAACAAAAACGTGTAAAACAGGAAGTAAAGTAATAACCTACCTGGGATACTTGAAGAGCTAGAGCAGAACAAATCTGCGGTAGATGGTAAGCTTGATTGTATCCTTGTATTGAGTGGTAATTGTATCTGAACAAGGTGTGACTAGTTCAGACGGCATTAATGTGGCCCCTTCCAGATGACTTAGAACTTCAGTTACCAAATTTAGTAGCAAAGATGAGCAAAGACTTCTAGGAGATTCAGGAGAGGGTTTTTAACATTTGCTCCACTCTTCTTCTCAACTCTCCTTAAATCAGGTGTGTCCAGCCTTGGCAACTATAAGACTTGTGGACTGCAACTCCCAGAATTCAATTCAATTCTGGGAATTGAAGTCCACAAGCCTTAAAGTTGCCACGGTTGGATACCTCTGCCCTAAATGGTCTACTGGAAGTGGGTAGGTCAATCCTCATCCTTTCCATGACTTACATAATTCTTTCAGAGTTTCGCCTTACTTCTGAATATTGTCTTTTTTTTGTGCACACCCTTTCAGTTCCTGGAAATCTTAAGAAGATCATTCCACCCGCAAGTGTGGCCTCTTCCAACGGTGTTGATGCTTCAGTATTGAAAGCTCGAACACTGGCTGGGATGGCATCTAAAACAACGACCACAAGTGCCACAAAAAGGATAGCACATACTCCCACTCTGCAGGTGATGAATTGCCAGTATATGCTTCATAGTTAACTTTTCAAGTTGAACACATGAAACATTCCCCTGCATGCAATTTTAGCCTCTAACGTTTGGAAGTCAAAGAGTGTTGAGGTTAAACACTTGTGCAAGATTGTGCTTCCTTTTGTTTTGTTTTTTCTAGGATTTATAGTCCAGCTTTGTATATAAATGGTATTTGAGGCATTCCTAGGCAGAATTCTGGATAATTTGGGAAATACCAGTAAAGGAGAATAATTGTAGCTCAGGGTTGAAATGAGGGTTCCTTGGTGCTCTCTGAATTTGGTTGTTTTCTTACAGATGTTTCATTACCTAAACTAGGTAACATCAGCAGTGCTAGTAGATGTAATGAAACATCTGCAAGAAAACAGTCAAGCTCAGAGAGCACCAAGGACCCTTAATTTTTATTCAGATTGTTTTGAGTGTTGTTTGAAAAAAAAATTAGTTTGACTCACCACTGAATCTCAGCAGTATGGTCTTGTGGACTATTATATACTGCAGAAAGTTGGCTATTAGACCATAGATAGCTCATAGCTCATATATGGCTTAGTAGAAGAACCAATCAGAGGCAGGAAAAGCATTGTAGTAACTGTGCTATCAAAATAGCTTATTTTCTTCCCCCTTTCCATGTTCCCTAGAGCACCACCTTGAAAAGGCCAGTTATTCCCACAGAATATGGTGCCAAAGTTCCCACCAACATCCGTCAGAGGTACCTCAACCTCTTCATTGATGAGTGCTTGAAGTTCTGCCCCTCACAGCAGGGAGCATTTGACAAGGTTTGTGCATTTGTAATGGTAATGATAGGAGTAATGCTTGGGCATCTTTGAACTCTTATAGTTTGCGCTTCTTTAACTGTAGGCCCAAATGATAGAGGGATTGAATCACTTAAAAAAAAAAATTGAAAGTTCACTGAGCAAATACATTTGCAAGTACAAAGTTAAGATAGACAGCCCAATGTTGAGCTTCCTGTTTGAATAGTAAGAGAATCATAGGTCTACATATTTTACCTTATTTTTGAAAGTACTGTTCCCTCTGTTACAAACACAGGTAGTCCTCAAGTTACGACCACTGTTGAACCCAGTTGTTAAAGAAAGTTTTGTCCCATTGTATGACATTTCTTGCCCAGTTGTTAAGTAAATCACGTCAGTTGTTAATAACACAGTTGTTATGTGAATCTGGCTTTCCCAGTGACTTTGTTTGTTAAAAAGTCGCAAAAGGTGATCATATGACACCAGGACACTGCAACTGTCATAAGTATGACCCAGTTGCCAAGTGTCTGAACTTTGATCATGGATGCTGCAATGATCTTAAATGTGAAAAACGGGCATAAGTGACTCTTCAGTGCCATTATAAGTTTGAACAGTTGCTAAACGAATGGCTATAAGTCAAGGACTAATTGTAGAAACTTGCCTTTTTCTTCCTGCTTATCCTTGTTGATGACTATTTGACCCTTCTCCTGGTGGCATTGGAAGCCACCTAATATATGTTAACACAATAGTTCTCTCTAGTCTCCTACTTCCTGCCTTAGCAATTTCATTTTGTATATTGAAATTCCAAAATGCTGATGGTGGTGGGCATGCTGTTCACAGGCTCTTGCTGAGGAGAAGGTGGTGTATGAGCGCAGCACCAGCCGCAACATCTACCTGAATGTGGCAGTAAACACTTTGAAGAAGCTGAGGACTCTTTTGCCCAGCCCTTCTCAGGAGGTTCAAAGTATGTACTTATACTTTACTTCTTGCTTTCAGACTGAAACTTCTCTGCTATTTTGCACTTCATTTTATTCTTTCCTTATACTCTTAAGCCTCCATTTCTTAAACATTTGGAGTATCTTTAACAAAACACACTTCAAATTCGCACAGTAGACTGGGTAAAAGACTGCCTACCAAGCCAGCAGAGCATAATTCTGTGGGCAAAACTTTCATAATACATCTCTTTGCCAGCCGAATAACATCTGTGCAAGCACAATTAGCTAGTTGCACTGCAGTCTTGTGCCATACATCAGTCCCATTCTTGCCCATGTTTGAAACTGCTGCTATTACAAATGTTATTTAGTACAGGGGCCTCCAACCTTGGCAACTTTAAGACCTGTGGACTTCAATTCCCAGAATTCCCCAGCCATGCTGGCTGGGGAATTCTGGGAATTGAAGTCCATAGGTCTTAAAGTTGCCAAGGTTGGGGACCCCTGATTTAGTACATTGGCAAAGGGGGTGTATGATGTTAACCCCAAAATAATTCTGCTTCCCATTATCACTTTCTGAGCTTAATTCATAGTATATTGGTCTTGACCTTTTAAAGCAGTCAGCATGTGGAGACCTGTGTAGAACTTCCATTGACTCAGAAATTTTATTTGTGGTTGATCCAGGATGTTTGCTAGTTTGACATCTTGTCTTTTTCTTCCAGAGGCCAGCAATAGAAAAATGGTTTCTCATGAAGCTATGTTAGGAGGGAAACTGGCAGCCAGGACCAGTTATACACTTAATCGTTCTACAAACTTACGGCTAGAAGACCTGACAGGTAGGTCCCCCCTTTTTGTCATGCACACAATGACTGTGGCGGGGATGTGATTTTTATTCCTTTCTGTCTGTTTTAAAGACCTTCAGATTGATTTTAGAAGTGGCCTGATCGTTTTTTCACACCAGAGAACTGATAGGATCAGTGTTGAAAGCCAATTCAGAGCTATTTTAAAACTGTAAAGAGCACAGAAAAGCTGTAGAGAAGAATGGGGTCAGGTCACTTTTTAGAGGTTTGTTGATACATGGTACCTGTGATTCTTCTAAATGTCCCTCTTCAGCTTGACCAGATTTACCCTGTAGGGAAGGGCATTTCATGATAAAAGTGCAGTAATCCCAAAGTAAGCCTGTTGCCCGGTTAACAACTTCCACAATTCATTTCAGAAATCGTAAACGATCTAACCCATGTCAGTTTTGAATGTGGATAAAACACTAGCTTTGAAGCCAAACAAGATGGTGGTTTTTTTAATCAATCACATAAACGTTCGATAGATATTCCAGGTGTGTGGGGAAAAATAAACTTTCAAGTTGCATGGCCCTAAGTTGTGAAGGGGACATCTTTGCAAATGCATTCTGTCTTGTTGAGAGAGAAGAGAAGAAGGCTTATTTCAAGTAGGCAGCTGCTTATTAGTGTTAACGAGAAATTGCCCTTGGCCCAAATTGGTATCAGCAAAAGTACTTCATTATTCTTCGCTTACAGAATGGATTGTGTAAAACACAATACGGTTCTGTACAGAACCCTAACGTCACACATATGTTGATGGGTACTGAGCTGTCCCTAACTAAATGAGAGGAAAAAAAACCCAGGTCATAGTAGATAACTCAGTGATGTTAACTGTGCAGCAGTTATGAACAAGGGAAAATTCTCTGCTAAGGATCATTAGTAAACAAATTGAACAACCCAAAGCCTTGAATACCTTCCTTACAAGAAAAGGTTAGAATAGAGAGAAGGCAAGTACAGGAGAAAATGTTTAAGGCACTCTCAAGCTTCCTCCTTCCGTTTTATATTCAAGATGGACAGTATTTAATATTTATTCGTTATGTATATGTAGGGATATGGGTCTATACATACGTTGTATATAGTATGTTTAGGTGTCGTGTCATGTATGTGTTTCATTTTGAGAGTGGGCAACTGAATTTCATTTTTGATGTGTGCGGTTGTGCCCACAGTAAAAAAATGACAATAAAGGTTATAATAATAATAATAATAATAATAATAATAATAATAATAATAATAATAATAATAATAATAGTAAAGTTGGAAGGGACCTTGGAGGTCATCTAGTCCAACCCCCTGCTCGGGCAGGAAACCCTACACCATTTCGGACAATGGCTGTCCAGTCTCTTCTTAAAAACTTCCAGTGTTGGAGCATTTACTGCTTCTGGAGGCAGGCTGTTCCACTGATTAATTGTTCTCACTATCAGGAAGTTTCTCCTTAGTTCTAGGTTGCTTCTCTCCTTGATTAGTTTCCACCCGTTGCTTCTTGTCCTGCCTTCAGTGCTTTGGAAAATACATATATTATCTTATTTAAAATCTAGCATGTCATGAAGAATGTGGGTATGAGAATCTGTTTTTCTCCCTGTCCGAAGGGGTCATGCAGTGAAATTGAATGGAAGGAAATTTAGATGCAATTTAGATGAGACAAAGTACTTTCTATAGTCCATAATTAATCTTGGATTCTTTATAGTAGTTGTTGAAGCAAAAGGACAAAGTAATGGCCGTAGACTTATATAGAGGTAGTCCCCAACATACGACCATAATTAAGCCCAGAATTAGGCACGTAAGTTGTGTTCATTAAATTGGTCATGCTTGATCAACCCTGATTTTACAAGTTTTTTTGCAATAGTCGTTTAGCAAATGTCACAGTTAAGCAAACATCACAGTCATTAAGTGAAGCCATTTTCCCCGAAGGGCAATTTTTTTTTGCCAGAAATCAAAAGTAAACAGTGACCACATATTTTTATCATATGCATACCATAGTATATAATCATAAAAATTCTCCAGCACAGGAGATGGAGAATCCACCAATGGGTTTTCTCCGTCTGCCTGCTCTTGAGACCAAGTAGCCAAACTTGACATGCCCCCTGTGCTAGGAGACCTAGTCTTGACTTGGTCTCAAGCTCTTGAAGACATGTCAGGTTTGGCTCTCAGGTATTAGACATCTAGCAGGTTAGAAAAACCATTGGTGAATTCTCCTTGCCTCATACCTTCACAGTCAGGTTAGTAGATATATCCAGGAATTTTCCCCTACTGGAAAATTTTTGGGTTGTTTCCCAACTATCCCTCTGCAGTGCTGGGCTCAGCTCTACCTCAAATCGGCTGATTTGAGGGGGGGGGCAGCTACAGCTTCCCCATTTTTTTTCCCCCAGGGCTCTGGGGAAAACTTCCCTTACTGACCATTACCTTGTTAGGCCAGTGCTGCTGTAACTGCCTCAAAATTGCCTTCTGAGTCCTTCAGAGCTGTTTTTTTCATAGCTGCACGATCGCGGGCACCATTTTGGTTGCCGAAAAGGCAACGAACGGCACTTTTAAAGGAACGGAGGCTTTTTCCAGAGTGATTGGAGACGTTCCGATCGCCAGCTTCCCTCACAGCGAATAACACCACAGTTGCCTGTATGGCTCAGGAACTTGCCTCCGAAGGCCCGAGGGCCATCCTGACAGACCCGAAGGTTGCGGCTTCCATTTTGGTTGCCGCCGAAGGCAACGAAGATTTAAACGGATTTTTCCCTCTTCTTGTTACTCCGCAGATTTAGGGCTTGGTTGCTCATTCCTTTCAGTAACCAGGTTTCCGCTTATACAGCACAGCCCTGACCATAAGAGCAACCGCTGCAGGTCCCCGCGGCTGCCATTTTGGATGTGCCACGTGGGTTCCCTTCTGGGCCTCATAAGCCTGCGTCCATTAGTTGTAGTCCCAGTAATCCCCAGATTAGGCCCCAGGCCATTTTGATCGGAGCCGCCATTTTGAACCTCCTCTCACATTTCCTCTGCTAGGCCTTCCTTTCAGGCCCTCTGCAGCCTTCATTGGGCTATCTGGTGCACCTTGACTGGCCACCTAAGGCCTCTGGGCGGAGTCTATAGCGGGTCCCAACTGTGCCTTCGGTCTTGTTTTAACAACCGTGACCTAAGCCTAGAGAGACTTACTACCTGGTCAGGTGGTCAGGGGAGCAGTCCTCGTTACTTGCTCCAATTTCCCTTTCCGCCAACCCCTTCCTCATTTCCTTCTGTAGGCGGGACAGATAAAAAGATTTTTAGTACCTCTGCAGACTTAACTGAGGCCCTGGAGGTCCCCAAGGTAAACGAAGCCTGGACCCCTCTGGTGTCCCAGACTGCAGTCTCTGAGGACATGTCCGAGGTTCTTAAAGCGGACGACAGGAAATGGGACATAACTTTTCGAAAGACCCATCAATCAGCGGGATGGGCAATTAAAACGGCCACTTGCACGTCCTTTGTCCGAACCACCCTCTTATGGCTTCGTCAACTTCAGGCCAGAGTCCCTTCCGAGGACATTCAGATCCACAAGGACCTGAGCAAAATGGTGGCGGCAACAGAATATGCTGCGTATGTGACTCTACAGTCGGCCAACTTTGCTGCCAGGTCCCTAGCCTCTAACATTACAGCCAGAAGGATGCTATGGCTAAAACATTGGCAGGCCGACGCCAAGGCCAAATGGTGCCTCACAACTGCCCCCTACCTGGGCAAAAATCTCTTTGGGGAGGCCCTGACTCTGTACCTTGTGGAAAACAAGGACAAGCAGAAGGTCATGGCTCATCTTAATAAACGGGCTGACAAACGTGCCACTCCCTATTTCCGCAGGCAGTCCTTTCGGCCGGCAGCAGGTTCGGCAGCCACCCAGCCCTCCTGTCCATACACACCTAGGCAGGACAGGCCATATGACCGTCTGTGTGACAGATTGGGCTTTTGACTCAGGCAGCAGTACCAAAACAAGAGGCCATTTCGAGGGGCAGGACACCCTTACAGGAGGTCCAAGTGACTCTCATACCACACTTCCCATAGGAGGAAGACTTGTCCACTTCTTCCATCAGTGGGAACTCATATCCATGGACACAATCGAAAGACCCCCTTACAAACAATCCAGTTTGGCCTGTCCCCGGGTCGCTTCATCACCTGTTCCACTTCACGGGATCCAATCAAAAAGGAACTTATGTAGGAGGCCATTCAACATCTGCTAGAGATTCAGACCATAGAACCGGTATCGCCGGACCACAAAGGAAAGGGATTCTACTCCATCCTCTTCGTGGTCCCCAAGACCTCGGGGGGATGGAAGGCAATTCTAGACCTCAAGAGTCTGAATTATTACATCACATACAAAAAATTCAAAATGCAATCACTCCAGTCTATCCTGGGAGGCATCAGACAGGGAGACTTCCTGGCATCAGTAGACCTCATGGAAGCGTATCTCCACATTCCCATCCATCCAGATCACTGGCGGTTCCTCAGGTTCTGTTACAAAGGCCATCACTTCCAATACAAAGCCCTCCCGTTCGGTCTCTCCTCGGCGCCCAGGGTGTTCACCAAGATCCTGGCTGTGCTAGCCGCCCATCTACGGAAGGTACCGGTACGCATCCAGTGATACTTGGACGACATCTTGATCCAAGCGTCCTCCTTCCGGGCTGCCCAGTCGGACCTGGAACTAACTATTCAGGTCCTCCAACAGCACGGGTTCTCGGTGAACTTCCAAAAAAGCCAGATCGTTCCCTCATCCAGGCTTCTGCAACTGGGAGCCATCATAGACACCACAAACTGGTCTATCTCTCCCAGGAGCATCAGAGACCTGGCTCGCTGGGTGTACAAGGACTGTACTGTTCCACTGATCTTACTCTCCCAACTTCTGGGAAAAATGGTCTCCTGCATAGCCATTGTCCCCTGAGCCAGACTTCACCTGCGGGAGTTTCAATGGTTCCTCCTATCATTCCAGCGGTTGAATGCCAGCGCATCCAGCCGGCAGGTGAGGCTCCCGGTCCATACCCTCAGGTCTCTACGCTAGTGGTTCTCACAAGCGGTAACCAAGGGGTCACCTTTCAAGGGGCCGGACCGCATTACCATCACAACAGATGCCAGTCTGTTTGGCTGGGGAACCCATCTACAGTCTCAGTTTGCGCAGGGCCGTTGGTCCCACGCAGACTTGAGACACAACAACAATTGGCTGGAACTCAGGCCCATTCACTTAGCTCTTCGCCAATTCTGCCACCGGATCAGGGGCCATCACGTATTGATCCTCATGGACAATGTGGCATCCAAGGCCCACGTGAACCGGCAGGGGGGCACCAGGTCCAAGTGCCTTATGGACGAGGCCCGGTTGCTGGGATTCTGGGCAGAGTCCAACCTGGCCTCCCTCAGGGCCGAACACATTTCGGGAGTCAAGAATCAGCAGGCAGACTTTCTGAGTCGCTCTACGATAGATCCCTCGGAATGGGGACTACATCCGGATCTTTTTTCCGAGAATCCCTAAGGTTCGGCCATCCAGTCTTCGACCTGTTTGTGTCGTTGAGCAATGCCTAACTCCCCAGGTACTTCTCCTGTTATTACCTTCCAGGGCCGGAGGGGACGGACGCCCTGCGGACTCCGTGGCCGAAAGGTCTACTTTATGCCTTCCCCCCTCTCCCGCTCATTCTGGTGACCATCCGCAAACTGCTCCAGGAACAGGCAGAAGTGATCCTCGTGGCCCCATATTGGCCACAGAGACCCTGGTTTGCCGACCTAATGAATCTGTCCTGTTCTCCTCCGTAGAAGATTCCCCCGCATCGCGTATCCTTACACCAAGAAGTCCTCCAACAGTGGTTACAGTTAGCCGCCTGGCGCTTGAGCGCAGCATCATGACACAAGAGGTATTTTCACCACGGGCAATCACCATGATTCAGGCCTCTCATAGGCTGGCAACCAATCGCATTTATGATTACACCTGGAAAATTTTTTGCCATTAGTGCAGAAGGCGGCAACTGGATGTCTACAAATTAACTATTCCTCAGATCGTAGAATACCTTCTTGACAGTCTGGACAGAGGCCTGGCCCCTGCGACCATTCATAGGCAGGTGGTGGCCCTGTCGATGTTGCTCACTTGCATGGATTCAGGATACGCGCCTTCATCAATGGTGCATGCAACACTAGGCCTCCCGTGGTACACAGGTACCCCTCTTGGGAGCTGCCTTGTGTGCTTCGCACACTCACGAAACCACCCTTTGAGCCCATTGCCAATATACCATTGCGGGCCTTATCTCTTAAGATCACATTCTTAATCGCCATCACGTCAGCCAGGCGTATCTCCGAGCTGGCTGCTCTCTTGGTCAGGAACGATCTTTGCAACTTCCACCGAAACTGGGTAGTCCTTCGGTTGGATCCCGCCTTCGTACCCAAGGTTAACTCACTCTTTCCTCGGGCACAGGAAGTCATTTTGCCTAACTTTTGCCCCAATCCTTCCCATGACTTGGAGAGGCAGTGGCACACACTGGATGTACGCAGGGCCCTGTGGCGTTACATCAAGTGCACGGAACCCTTTCGCAGATCTGAGGCCCTCTTCATTTCCTTCCGTCTGGCTTCCCTGGGACAAAAGGTGTCCGCTGGCACTATAGGAAGGTGGATCAGGGCCTGTATCGCGGAGGCGTACCAGTCTTCTTCACTGCCGGCTCCAAGTCATATCACAGCCCATTCCACTCACAGTGCTGCCACATCTGCGGCATGGGCCACTCAGGCGTCCATCAAGGAGATTTGCAGAGCTGCGACATGGTCTTCGCCTTCCCCATTTGTATGCCATTATAGGATTGACCACTTTGCGTTGGCAGACACCTCCTTTTGTCGGGGGGTCCTCCAACTGGTGGTTTCTGGGGACGTGGATCTGGCCTTATCTGTTTCCCACCCATCGGGACAGTGAGGCTTTGGTATGTCCCATTGGTGGATTCTCCATCTCCTGTACTGGAGAAGGGGCATTGTCCTACCTGAATGCCTTTTCTCAGTATGGAGATGGAGAATCCACACCCACCCTTTAGGTCAGTCAGGCCATTATTAGGAGTTAGAGAGCCAACACCTCGTCCTTGCATCAGCCTCCTAGCACAGGGGGCGTGTCAAGTTTGGCTACTTGGTCTCAAGAGCAGGCAGACGGAGAAAACCCATTGGTGGGTTCTCCATCTCCGTACTGAGAAAAGGCGTTCAGGTAAGACAATGCCCCTTCTACATAATTTTAGTAGTTATCCAAATGCTCAATGCCATACGCTAAATAAATAACATCAACACTGCTGAAAATTACGATCGTGTGACCATTGGAAATTACAAACAGCCATAAAGGAGAGCACCGAAGATTCAGGGGGCGGGGCAGGGGGGGTAACCCTCAGAACTTTGAAAACAAGTGATAAGTAACACTGGAGAAGTCTGTCCATCCAACAGTTGCTAAGCAACCGGTTGTAAGGGGAGGATAACCTGTAGCTTTAAATTCACGAAGGACAGGTCTATCAGGATTAGGGTTATTTCTGTCTTGAGGAGAGCCCATCTCAGAATCCGTGCATCTGGAGAACAAAGTTACAAGAGAGATATGTCGCCATCACCCCAGAGGAAATGACCACCATAAGAAACCAAATGCTGAAGACGCGTAGGCCTTGGCCTAGTCCGGCCGGATTGTTCTGATGATGGTCTTTGTAGAAAGAGCTGCCTAGCATTTCTTCTCAGCATTTCCTCCTACTTTACCCCACCCGCCTGATGCTTAGATCTGCCTTTGCTTTGGGTTTATGCTGCTTCAACTGCAATTACCATCTTATTGCTGCGTAAGCTGTCCAGAATGTTTCCGGGTGTGTGGATGATATTGGTCTGAAAATAGCTAGAGAAAATGGCTAGATAAACATTTCCTAACCTTTGTCGTTCTCAGGGGCTACCTTGTACCGAAGGCTCAAAGAATATGTGCTGACAGAGGATGAGTTGAAGGAGCACGGCTACCCGCTACCGTGTCCCGAGAGACCTGGCCGGGCTGTTGTCTTTGCTATGGAAGAGAAGAAATTGACTGATGGTGAGTTCTGCTGGACCGGAGAGTTTCTGACTCTTAAGAACCATTCTGTTTAATGGGAAGAAGAAGAGAGGTCAGGAAAGAAACCCTCGGCCAGTATATTCCCTTCAAGGCAGACATCTACACTGACTGCTGGTGGATGGGATGTTAATGAGCTTTTAAGCATATTCTGAAGCTACCTACTGTAGGTATTGTTTTATTTTTGCACATAAATCGTAAGGCAAGGACTACCTGTAGTGAAGAAGATATTGGTGATCTAGGGTGCCCTTTGTCTGAGGACACATTTCAGAGGTTGTGGTCTGTAAGTCTGCCTGTCTATTTAACAATCATAAAATGCCACATCGGAATCCAGTAGAGTGATTGCCTCAGAAGGCCTTCAAGGCTGGTGCTAGGATCTTGGAAGCAAATCCATCTAATGGAGGGCCCAGGGCCCAGGCTAGGTTGCAGCTATTCCACTTTAAAGATCTGAAGTAGCCGACACAGAGAGAAGACTTCTGTCAGAGACAGCAAAAAGTTAATGTCAGTCATAAGAGCACTAGGCCAGGTAAACAGATTCCGTCCCTACATCTAAAGCAGTTCCCTGTGTTCATGCCGTCAGATCAGAGGAAGGTGTGGTTGTCTAACCTTGTGAAAAGCTGAACTGTAATTTGGGGAGGGGGGGGAATAGGGTTTCAGCTCTCTCAGAAAGAATTTCCCAGTCATTGGAGAGCACGTATGATAGTCATAGCTGTATAGCACAGGTGCCTACTTTAGGGAAGGGGATACTGTTGTTTTTGGCATGATAAGCTGGCAGGTACAGTACAGTAACCACGGTCAGAACAAACAATTATGGGGTCTGAAATTGAGGGGGGAATCGATGAAATACAGCAATGTGTTTAATCTCTTGGTATTTAGTAATCTTCCCCTTCTTTCATATTCTTTCATGCTGTTGCGGCAGTTACAATTGCCCTAGAAGAGGCCTTAGCCAAGACCAGGGGTAGGCAACCTTGGCTCTTTTATGACTTGTGGACTTCAACTCCCAGAATTCCTGAGCCAGCCATGCTGAGGGGAAAGAGAGAGGTTTCCAAGCTGAGCCATGCTGGCTCAGGAATTCTGGGAGTTGAAGTCCACGAGTCATAAAAGAGCCACGGTTGCCTACCCCTGGCCAAGACTTATTATAGGGGCTAAATGTGGTTCTGGGGCTTCTATTTGTACATCCTTCAGGGACAGAAAGGAACTGTCTTTTTTTTCCATAGATTTCAGTCTTTTCAGTAGACACCATATGTCAGGCTAATACCAATCAGGTCTTCCTCAGCTGAATTACTGCAAACTCTTTCTGCCACAAGAAACAAAACGTTTCTCCAGAATGAATGAGGATGTTGACACAGAAAGTATGTTTTGTCTGCCTGAACTCCAGGTAGTCCTTGACATACAACCATTCATTTAGTGACCATTCAAAGTTACAACAGCACTAAAAAGGGGGGGGGTTATGACCAGTCACCACACTTACAACTGTCTCAGGATCCCCACAATCACGTGAACAAAATTCAGGTGCCTGGCAACAGGGTCCTGGGATCACGTGATTGTCATTTGCAACTTTCCCAGCCAGCTTCCAACAAGAGAAGTCAACGGGGGAAGCTGGATCGCTTAACAACCAAATGATTCACTTCACTGCAGTAACTGGCTTAACAACCCTGGCAAAACAAGGTGGCTAAAAAAGGGCGCAACTCACTTAACAACCAATTTGCTTAGCAAACTGGAAATTCAGTTCCAGGTGGGGTTGCAAGTCGAGGACCACCTGTACTTGATTTCTTTCATTATTTCTCAGTCCTCGACACAATCGTTCCTCTTACCATAAGGTGGCAAGCAGTTGAATCTCCTAACAGCTTGCCTCATGGGACTCTTGCATTTTTTGATTGGTTGGGGGAAAAAAAGCAACCTATGCAATGTTTTCCTCTTTGAATATTGGTTAGAAACAGTTCATAGATGAGAGAAAAGAGCCATTGGCTCTTTGGATGCCACTTCATACAATCAGTACAGTCACCCTTGCAGTTGAGGTCAAGGGGCTCCTGTTTTGATGAACTCCCAAACAGCAGGATCCGTATATCTCATTGGGAGAAAATAGAAGAATTTTTATAGTGTTTTAGATAGATATATAAGAATGGACTGAGAGCCCAAAATCTATGTTTTCACCCACTTCTTTTTCTTCTGGAAGGTTCTTGCAGGATTTGTTGTCGTTGTGGCACAGAATACATGGTAACATCTTCTGGAAATTGTGTCCGTAAAGAAGAATGCATCCATCACTGGGGGAGATTGCGGAAGCAAAGAGGTAATCGTTTACATTCTTTTCAAAAAGCATATTCTTTCTCCAGTGGAATTCAAAGTGCACGACATTGATTTTTATTTTCACAAGAAACCTGTGAGGTTATGCACAGATGGCATTTTGCAAGCTGCTCTGAGAGCTCAAACCACTAGGTTTTAGTTCTCTGCTCCTGGCCATGTATTTCTCCAATCTCTAATAGTAATGTCACACAGTCAGATTGCACTTTGGATGTTGGAGGACAATGAAAAAAATGAGAGAAGCACCACATTTTGGCTCAAAGGTGCTTTTTCAAAAGGCAGCCCGACTGTTTTTTGAGAAAGAAGATGTTTCTTTTCTCATCCAAGAAGGTTCATCAGTTGTGGCTGGATGGTGAGGGAAATGGAAGGATAGGATGCCCCCACAGTCCAGTCACAACTGATGAAGCTTCTTGGGTGAAGTCTTGTTTTTCTTTCTCAAACAACAGTCCAGTTACTTTTTGAAAAAGCACCTTTGAGACAACTATGACCTGGATGATGAGAATCTCCACAGACATTGCACTTTGGCATTATTTGTTCCCTCAGACTCTGTTTATATATCAAGAGGGCTTTCATGAAGTTCCAGTAACATTTAATAGCAAAGATTTGCAAACATTTTTTTTAAAAAAATCCTAAATGAGTAAATATTCATTCAGAGCATTTTCTAACATGAAAGGTTATTGTTGTCTTAAGTAAGAAGCACAAGGACACAATTGAAAGACAATAAACACAATCAGATTTGTGATGGAGACAAAATGGGATCCATTTCATTACAATCACCTTAGCTCAGACCAATTGTCATCAAACCCCACTCCTCCAATAACTAGTCCATAATCCTTTTAGAGATTATTTAAATGATATGGCTTACAAATCTTTCAGAAGTAAGCTATTTTAGTTTTCTGTGTTCATTATGTAATTATTCATACTACTGCTTGCTTCCTTTTTCCTTTAGCATCATTTTCCTAGCCTGCATCTTTATTATAAGTAATAATTTTAAACATAACCCTCCCCAGGTAGGGGAATTGTGATAGAAAGGAGTTGTGTTGGTATTAAAATCAAGATTATCTCAACCAGACTAGTTTTTGCTTAATCTTTGATTGATGGTTTTGTGCACAGTGAAGATTTCCCATTTAAGCATTTCGCTCTCTCTCTTTTTGCAGTGCCAGGTGGCTGGGAAACACATTATAGCTGTTGTTCAGGAGCCGTGGGTTCACTCGGATGCCAAATTGCAAAAGTATGTAACCATGTTAGGTCAAACCATGAAGTACAAGGTAAAGTGGACCACCTTCTCTCTGAGTATAGCCATCGCTTTGCTACTTTGATCTCTGTTTCATAGAAGATGCTTTGGAGATGCTTTTCAATCTTATTTTGGCTTGAAAAAAAACATGGCTCCTTCTATCAGCCATTCTCTGTAGTAATAGGATAAAATATTTAATTTATTATTAAATTTGTGATAGCGGCCTAATGCATTAGAGCAAGGATGTTCGGCCTTGGCAATTTTGAAGATTTTGTAGATTCAACTCCCAGAATTCCTCAGCTAGCATGGGAGTTGAAGTCCACAAGTCTTAAAGTTGCCAAGGTTAGGTACCCCTGCATCAGACTTTGGATAGCCTAGAACAGGAATTTCAAACTGCCAGCCCGCGGGCCGGATGCATCATAACGAAACTGTGCTGGCAATGGCAAAAAAGTCACAACACGTCACGTGACACCCCTGGCCTAGAAAATCCAGCAAACGGTAAAAACACACACCCAAATAAGCAGCCCAAACTCAGACTATCAGAATGTTAACGGATACAGCGGGACCCCACAAATGCATCAATACTCACATTAAATCCAGGCCCATGAACAAATGCAGGTTCTAAGGGCTTTCCAGAACCCCAGGAGAGGGAGTGCCATTTGCATCTCACGGAGAATGCTGCTCCATAGGCAGAGACAGAGAAGACCCACTTCCTCAGTCCCACAAGATGGCAGCATTTAATAGAGAGGAGCTGTTCAAACATACTGGATTGGCAGAAACAAATGGAAATATGCAGTCTCTCAGAAAACGAGGCTCTGTGCCATGAAGCACATGGGCCGTTATATCAAAAATATTTCCTCTTCTTCTACCACGAGTGTTAATTTCATCCAATTAGTCCTTGTGACTTGTTAATCTTCAGCAGACTGATCACCCATGAATTTTCTGTAAGAGCTTGAGATGGAAGCTTAGAACGGGGCCCTGGCTACTGAGGACAATGCTGCAGTCTCAATCAAGTTAACCTTTCCCCAAATAGAAGGACGGAGATCAAAGAATCAGAGAATGTAAGGTCTGGAAGGGATCTTTGAGGTCATCTAATCCAACCATGTGCTCAGTGCAAGAGTCCACTATTGTAGTATCTCCAACAGATACTCCATTCAGCTTCTGTTCAGACACCTCCAGTGAAAGCTGCTCCTGAGGCAGTGTTTTTTTTTTAATAATTTTTTATTTTTCCAAGCTCTCCCCCATACATATACCGTAATATTTATCAGATGTTAACATACATTCTTTTTACATTCATATATAAGATACTTTTAATAAAATGAAATAAATACATACACATGACTTTTGGTGTTGCTCGCCCATTTCCCCTTTCACCGTATCCACACTCCTCCTTCTCTACCTTCTTTCTCCCTTTCTTCTCTTCCCTACTTCCCTCTTCTTCCTCTCCTCTCCTTCACCACTCTCCTCCCCTTTCTCCCCACTTTTCCTCTTCTCCTCCAACCTTCCTACTTCCTTCTCCCCTCCTTTACTCTTTTCTCTCTCCTCTCCTTTCTTCCCTCTCATCCCTCTTCAGATACAATTCAGGGGTAATGTCCGAGCAACTCCTCCAAATTTCCCTATCTATATTATATACAATAAGATTAATACTTCTATTTATCTAACCTTCTCGGTATATACTTCTATAAACATTTATACAACCTCCAGTTATTCAATACTGTGTCGCCTGGGTCTCCCTCCTTATCTGCTCCTTCTTCTTCCATCTAAATTGATGTTAACTATCTTTTAACTGTATTCTCTTTCCAGCCAATCATAAAAAGTTCCCCAGATTTCATAGTAGTCTGACTCTGTCTTATCTTTAATTGTCATTGTTAGTCTATTCATTTCTGTACATTCCAGTATTTTCCCAATCACCTCTTCCTCTGGGGGGTGGGGCTTTCAGTGCTTTCCAATTTTGTGCTAACACAATCCTGGCTCTGAGGCAGTCTGTTCTATGGTGGAACAGCTTTTGGCCTTTGGAAAATTTGCTTGATGACCAGCCCAAATTAACTTTCTAGTTATTTTAAATCCCTTGTTTCTTGTCTTTTTTTCCCTGGATCAGTGTTACCCCATCTTCTACACAACAGCCTTTGAGATACTTGAAGACAGCTATCATATCTTTGTGTATTCCCCCCCCCCCCTCTTTCTAGACAAGGCATACCCAATATACCCCCTCAGAAGTTTTTTTTTCTTCCAGGACTGGTATCATCTAAGTTCTCACTGAACATACTCCAGTTTAACAAAGCCCTTCCTAAAATATCAACCTGGTGTTCTAAGTATGATCTAAACAAAAAATTATCTTGATCTTAATATTAGCCTTTGGTTGACCCAGCCTAGGACTGTGTGTACTTTTTTCAGCTGGATCATGCTGTTAGCCTGTGTTTGACCCACCACCACCACCACCCTATCCCAAAGCTATAATTCAGAGTATATCGTAATTACATAGTAACCCTGGTCACAGTATGAAGACATCAACAGGACTTTTCTTGACAGAGAATAAGGGAAACTGATGGTAGGAAAAGGAAGTAACAGGCCTGAGGCTGCTGCATTCCTTGAGGAAATGGGCTTCTCCACCATCTGTGAGAGAGACTCTGGCATTTAGAGGGATATAGAAATAGAGCTGTGAGGAAACTAAAGGGGATCAGATCGTTTTGCTCCCCAGAGATTTTAGCCCACACCTCTCTAGGAACGTGTAGAATGTTTTGTGCTCAAAACTGATATTCCTGGGTGCTGTCTTGATACATCCCCATTTTCAAGATAGCCTTTCCCACCTTAAAGATGATGGAATATTGGGCCTTCTGTCATTGGGCCTTATATGTGAAGTACATCCTGTTCTCCGCCGAGACATCACAAGTTTTGCTCTTTGAAAAGATTACCGTCCAGATACACTTGTTATTTTCTGTGTTGTTCTCTCCGATGTTCTTGAGAACTTCTGTCAGTTTTTTTTTAATTCTGTAACAAAGTGTTCTCTTTCACTCTTGTAATTGTTATTGATCATTTGATTCTGTGTTATGGAGCAAGTCAGTTTTCAGTCTTCTCTCCATCCACCATAAAAGAAGCAACCTTTACTTCCCATATTGTGTTTACTCAGGTTGGCATTTTGCAAGACCACCAGTCTGCTAACTAAAAGTGGGCAAGATTGGAGACCTCCTGATCCTTTCTCCAGGGATAGCTTTTTAACACTTCTTTAATTCTTCCCCCACTCTCACCTTAAGCAACATGTCCATGATGGCCGGAAGGAAAGTCTGGAAGGTTTTGTGAAGACATTTGAAAAGATGCCACGTGCAGGTGGGCATCCTGGCATCTACGCCTTGGACTGTGAAATGGTAGGTTGGCTATGTGTATAGAATAATGTTAAGGATTTCATATTTCATCAGGAATGTGTATTTAAATGTTGTGCCCCAACAGTCCAGTATATTTGAATGGAAACAACTTTGATACCACTTTGCATGCTTAGTGAAGTGATTGGGTAACATAGAAAGGGTTTTCTAAGTAAAACAAGGCTGTTGAGATTCAAGAGGAGGCAATCAGCAAGGACATAAACCAGGATGTGGTTAAAGAAGCCAGGATGGTGGCCACAATGGCACAATCGGAGGCCCACGTGTTTTTTTTGTTTGCATTGTAGAAGTAGAAAATAAAAACTCAGCTGAAAAAAGTGGTGAGAAGGCAGTCCCAGAACAAAACAGTTAGCAAGACTGATCTTGCTCAGAGTCCACAAAATGTTGCCTGCCTCGAATTCAGGGAAAGGGGAGATGGAATACACTGGTGCATTCTGGAAGAGGGAAGAATCTAGAAGCCTGAACCAAAATTTCATCACACTTCCATAATTCATGTGTTTGCAGAATTGAACTTTTTAAAAAATTTAATTTGAGCATCATTGAGAAGGGGCTCAGACACAGATGTACCTGCTACGTCCCTTCCCCAAGCTGGTGCTCTTTAGGTTTGTAGAAGCCGCATCCCTTAGCATTCCCATCAGTCTAGCTCTGCTGGTTGGAATTTTGGGTGTTGCAGAGTCCATAGGTCTGGAGAACATCTGGTGAGGCGGACTATCAGAGCAGAGGGATCTAAGACTCGACTTAACCCTAGCTGAGAACGTTACTGCAGAGATAAAACATAGAGTGGAAGGTACCAATTACAATTTCTGAACGCCTCAGAAAGAAGGCAGAATAGAAATGTGGCAAAATAAGGCATACCGAGTCCCACACCTAAATCACTGGAAACATTTCCGAATCATTTTTTCCCCTGATTCTTTTTCACATCTTTCCATTTGATTGCAAAATTGGCTGAGGTCTGATGAATGGCCATTGTTGTCCAACAGCTGGTGGGAACCTTTCCTAAAACGTGCTTTCTTTGTGTCTCTCATACCTTGTCTTCTGCAGTGTTACACTAAGCAGGGTTTAGAGCTGACGCGCGTCACTGTGATCAACTCAGACCTGAAAGTGATCTACGATACCTTTGTCAAACCAGACTCCAAAGTTGTGGATTACAACACTCGGTGAGGGCCCCACAAATTGTGAAAATGCATGAGGAACATAAACAAAAGTCTGTGCATTTGGTGACAGCAGTTGAGTGGCCAGGGTATCTGCTAAGCCAGTGGTTCTCAAGCTGTGGGTCGGGACCCCATTTGGGGTTGAACGACCATTTCACGGGGGTCACCAAACAAGGCTGTCCGCCATTTTTCCCTCTTTTCTTTGGCCACGCCCCTGGCACCCGATGATGTATAAGTGGTTGGGGGTCACCACAACATGGGGAACTGTATTATGGGGTCGCGGCATTAGAAAGGTTGAGAACCACTGTGCTAAGCATTTGCACCTTTAGAGTTGCCTGCTGAAACACTAGAAAGAAGGTGACATGGAGGAAGCTAGGCTGGCCTAACTTCCTCCATGCTGCTTTCTTTTCAGAATTTCAGCTGGTGATCTTTATTTTTGAATTTCAGATCCATTGCCTTGTTCTCTGCTTGGCTTGGTTTGTGAATCAGAAAAATTAATTCAGAAGGTTTGCACTCCCAAACCGTTGATCTGTCTAGATCACATTGCCCCAAGAAATGAGCTGAGTATTTTTCCTGTGGAGGAACATGCTTTTCGTGTTTCTTTCTGGGTTATTGCTCTGAACTTTGTGCTTTCCAATAAGACAGGGCCGGGAGCACTTTTTGTGGTGATATTTAGAAACATGTAATATTGAGATGTCAAGAGGGCTATGTGGCACATGTGGGTAGCATTGGCTTTGAAGGAGAAAGTTGAATTTGTGTTGTATCTACATTCCTGCCCATATTACAGTTTTTATCTATTTCCCAGTAGAAAATGGTGGGGAGGCATGCCTTCTGTTTTTAGCCATCATCGTCGGAGTGCTGCCAAAAAGAAACCAGGGTCCATTTTGCTCAAGAGATTTTGTGACAAGAAAAGGGAGGAGGTTCTCTGAGCAAGAGTTAGCCTACAATTGCACACGTGATGGGTGGTAACCATATGTCTGAAAAGCAGCAGAATTAAAACAAAAATAAAAAAACAGCTGATGATACCAACCTTTCCTTGGCAGGTTTTCAGGTGTGACAGAGGCAGATCTGGAGAACGCGTCAATAACTCTTCGGGATGTCCAGGCGGTTCTCTTGAGTATGTTCAGCACAGAAACTATCCTGATAGGCCATAGTTTAGAAAGTGACTTGTTTGCACTAAAGGTAAATGTTGCATGGAAACACACACATGTTTTACACACACCCTTCCCCTGACATGATGGCCATAGCTAGTTGATGGGTAAATCCCCCTTCAAATCCATTGCCTTCTCTGGCCTACCTTTTGAGATGCACTTCCTTGAAACATACACTCTTTCATTTAAGCCCTTTTAATTAAAAGTCCAAAAGGAAAGGAAGAATATACAGAAGAATCCAATAAATATTCTCCTTCCTTCCCTTACTAGCTTATCCACTCTATGGTGGTAGACACAGCTGTCGTCTTCCCTCACCGCCTGGGTTTGCCTTACAAGCGGGCATTGCGTACGTTGATGGCGGATTACCTCAAGCGCATCATCCAGGATAGCGGTAAGACTTTGGGGCAAAAATGAGGACCCAGATTGTTGGGGGGGGCAATATGCTGACTCTGTAAACTGCTTAGAGACAGCTGTAAAGCATTGTGAAGCGGTATATAAGTCTACCTGTTATTGCTATTGCTATTTATGGTCATTTGCAGTGTCTCGCGATCACCTGACTGCAACTTAAAATATTTTTTTACTGGAAACCAGTGTTTGTTTCCAGCTTCCAGCAAAAAAAAAAAAATGCCCATTGTGGATAATGAATTTGCTTAATGATCACTGTGTTCTCTTAACCGCCATGTTGTTCACTTAACATTGATTCACTCAACGACCACTGCAATAAAATTTGCTGCCTTTTGAAAAACAGCAATTTTTTAAAATCTACGTAATATATTAGTCTTCTTAACTTGGATACAATCGGGCCCCCTAGTGTAATAGCTAATTTCCCCTCCCTCCCATATGGCAGAGCGCTTAACTCCTCTCCTTTTAGACAAGTTGTTAAAATCTGTCCCCTGTCCCCTGCCCCAAGGTATTTGAGTCCAGTTGAACGGGGTTCCCTTTTGCTTCTTTTATTATCATGTTCGGTGCCGCTTTATATATTGGGTGTGCTTTTTAATGTTATTGTCATGGTTCTGACAGATGAAACTCTTCAAAGAACTTTGAGGCATTGTTTACCTCAAAGAACCTTTATTCAAGCAGCATAGCTTCGGCACCTACATAGTGGAAGCTAAAATCTGACTTCCCCTCCCTTGAGGGGAATTAAAACACAATTCCCTCCTACAACTAACAGTCATAAATCACATTCTCACATTCAAATTAATTTGAAATGTTGGCTTTCCGCCCACCATGCCTTATCATCTTTTATTACAATATCTTATGTCTAACTAACTCCCATCACATTCCTCCCCCTCCCCCCAGTATCATCTAATTCTAAGAGTAAAGCATAATAAAGAAAAAGGCTGCATCTCCATATGTTGTCCAAGCAAGAATCTCCAATCTTAGCATTGTTGACAGTTATGTATTTATTTTGGGGTTTTGCTTGTTTTTTACTTTATGCTACCCAGAGTCCCACCGTTGAAGTTAGGTGGGCCTATAAACCCATGACATAAGTAAATGAAGGCTTCTTATTTTTCTGGTTGCTAACAGTGGAAGGTCATGACTCCAGTGAGGATGCCCGAGCCTGCATGGAGCTGATGATATGGAAGATCAAGGAAGATGCCAAAGTGAAGCGATGATCCGCCTCCACGCTGCTGCTATTCTCCTTCGCATTTTTATCGCAGGGCAATAATAAAGCCTGCAGAGACACACCCGTAGCCAGCAGCAGACCCTTCCCAGACTTTTCCCCCTCTTGGCTCACAGGCGTCCCAAGGAATTGTGAGCAAGCAGCTCCTTCTGCTGGCAAAGTGACGGGCCGTGTCTGCATGCCAGGCATTGTAGTCAAGGCGAAATACATTGTGACCCAAGAAAGTCAGCCATCCCTGTGGTGGGGAAGGGTTTGGAGACAGACTTATCATAGAAGATCGTAATAACTTCAAGAGGCACTAAGTTCCACTATTCCCTCTTCCCCCGTCCTATTTATGGGCTTTAAAAGCTAGCGTTAATTTACATTTTTTAATTTAATTTGGGGGTCTTGCGATTGGCCTTGGGCTACAGGAATGGCGGAGAAGGTGGTCATGGACCCATGACTGTCAAGAAAGCAAGCCGAAGAGATGATGAAGGGATGCAGGCTTCAGTTTAGGGAGGGAAGCTAGGAGCAGAGTTGCACAGGTGGAAGGAACCTGGCTCAAGAAGCTGTACCGAAACACAACCTGGGAAGGGATAGTTATGCATAGCAGAGGAGGTCATGGGTGGAAAAATAAAACTATAGAAAGTCAGGGATTTCAGGCCTTGGGGTGTGACTCCAGCGCCGCTTTCCTGCTTAGGTCTTGACTGTAAGAGACCAGAGACGCTCCCAAGTGACAAGCTGCTACCAAACTGCAGGAAACAATCCAGATGGCTTTGGTCTGTGCTGCTGGTAGCATTTCTTTGAAACTACTGAGGGGGCAAAGCTGCCCACTGACCTTGTATTCCTCCCTGCTCAGGAGTTATTCAAACTAGCTGCTTCTGCCTTTGGCTTGGGGTAGGACTTATAGCTTTTGAAAGTTAGCTTCTGTTTTCTGCAAACGAGGAGATAGAGGCAGGATCGTGTTTGGCACTGATCACATTTTCAAAGGGCTGTTACTCAAATGGGGAGGGAGAGGTGATGGGGAAAATTCATAACTTACTCCCAAATTCTCCCTCTGGTTAAACTTGAAATATTTTGTAATAGGGCCTTCCGGGGGCTTTTTTCATCTCCAATGGCTTTTTGTAATTGCCAGTTGAACAGTTATGTATGAAGTCTCTCACTCTGGCCACTGAGTTGTTAAAATACAAGTATGTAGAATAAATTCTGTTGTCCTGTGGAGAGCTCTTACACCTGCCTCGCCTGTTTTCTCACAAAGAACGGGGATGTGAGACAACCCTGCTAATGTAATGCGGACTTTTCTGTGCCTCTCACCATTGGAAGCGGCCCCCCTCCCACCAGTTGTCTCCCCCTCCCACAGGTGGGCAACTCTGGTTGTGAAAAAAGAGTGCCCACAATTGACATTTCCACTAAACAATGGCTAGTAACATGGTTCCTTTGCTTTGTCAAAGGCCTTATCTTTTTATTCAACAGGCGCCTAAGGATCACTCTTTCCTCACCTTGTTCCAAGACTTCAAAGCCCATGAGCCGTGGTGGTGCAGTGGTTAGAATGCAGTGGTGCAGACTACTTCTGCTGACTGCCGGCTGCCTGCAGTTCAGCAGTTCGGTTCTCACCAGCTCAAGATTGACTCAGCCTTCCATCCTTTCGAGGTCGGTAAAATGAGGACCCAGATTGTTGGAGGCAATATGCTGACTCTGTAACCTGCTTAGAGAGGGCTGTAAAGCGTTGTGAAGGGTATATAAGTGCTATTGCTATTGCTTGTGAAAGACATCCCTTACGTATTCTACAGTGTATGTTGGGTACCTATGTTGGTGGTCTAGTTAGGGATATTGGGTGCTGTGTGAGTAGCCAATTCTCAACAGTGACCAGTCTGTACTGGCCTCTAGAAGGGCTGTGTATTTTAGGCATGTCTGCACAAAGGCTCCTTTAGATCTTAGCTATCAATGTTTACATCATTCTAATCTCTTCTGATGTGGCAGTCAGTGAAGATGAGGTGCCTCACAGCACTTAGGACCCAACCCATTGACCACCCTTCAGATTGGCGGTGTATGAATCCTGCTGATGAAAGATGAGAAACACTACATTTCTCCTTTGACAGCATTGTGCATTTTAAGCCCCAGGTGGGTTTGGAAAGCAAGAGGTGCATAAACCTGTCAAGACCTTTCCTGGGAAAAAAAAATAGGTAAGATTTCCCTTGCAGAGTATATCACACTCTGAAGCCCAGTGGGAGCATTTTAAAATGCTGGGAATTCATGTTCCTATTAGGCCTAGGCCAGTGTTTTTCCAATTTGGACAAATTTAAGATGTGTACTTCAACTCCCAGAATTCCCCAGCTAGCCATGCTGGTAGGGAATTCTGGGAGTTGAAGTGCACAAGTCTTAAAAGTCGCCACGCTTGAACCCTCTTGGCCTAGGTAGTGCATCCTATCTTGGGATCTGGATGAACACTGTCAGAGTTCCCATAGAAATAGAGAGGCAGCACAGCCAGCTAGTTAGCAAGAAGCATGTTTTATAGATGTGACAGATAAGTAAATACGACAAATACACGGGCAAAGCAGAATATTAATAATCCTGGCTTTGGTACTTTAAAAGATGGTGGGGTGGAATCCATCTTTTTGCTCAGATATGCATGTGTTTATTTAGCATTAGAGTAAAAGTGATGGTTTCAGGAAAGGAAGATTCTTGGGGTGAGCAGACGATCTGTTTAACCAAAGGAATGTATTTGCACTACAAGCTTGTACCAGGATTAATACTGATTAATCCATCATTATTAGAGAGCTCAGATGCTCCTTAACCTCCAAGAATGAAAGTTCCCTAGACACCAACATGTTGGTTAAACTCCTCCCTCCCCCTTTCTGCTATCATTTTGATGTTTGTTGCTCACCAACTAGAGCCTGCCCTTTGCTCTTCCTTCACAGGCAAGATTTGAAATGACTCCTAAGTAGTTTAGACTTAGAAAAACACGATCTCTTTTCCCCCCAGGCCAACCCAGCCATTTGGGGCTGCAATTCTTCTCTGATTGTAACACTACAGTAATAAAACTGTAGACTTTGTATACGTTTAACTGTATATCTGTTAATACTGTTTTGTATTTTTTTTAATAAAGCAAAATGTGACATCCCTACGTAGCGTGATTGTAGGGGTGGAGGGCTTTATATATTGCATTCAGAAAGCATTCAGACCCCCTTCACTTTTGTCAATTTTGTTATGTTGCAGCCTGATTCTACAGTTTTTGAAATTCATTTTTTTCTCATTGATCTACACCAGGGGTTCCCAACCCTGGGGGTGTGAGACAATATTCCAGGGGGTGCGAAAATTTGGGTTTTCAAAATTATAGGGCATATGCATAATTCATTACTATTATTTTGAACTTTTGTAAGGGGTGCAAGAATATATCAGAAGTGTTCTAGGGGTGCAGGGTATAGAAAAGGTTGGGAACCACTAATCTACACTCAGTACCCCATAGTGACAAAGTGAAAAGAGAATTATAGAAATGGTTATAAACGTTGTAAAAAGAAAAAACATATATCACATTGGCATAAGTTTTCAGACACTTGAAATTTAGCTCAGGTGCCTCCCATTTCTCTTGATTATTGCTGATATGTTTCTACATCTTGATTGGAGTCAACCTGTGGTAAATTAAATTGATTGGACATGATTTGGAAAGACACACACCCCTGTATAGAATACCTCGCAGCAGACAACATACTGTAGAAGAGCAAAAGCCATGAGGTCAAAGGAACTGCCTGCAGAGCTCAGAGACAGGATTATTGCAAGGAACAGATATGGGGAAAGTTACAATAAAATTTCTGCTGCACTGAAGGTTGCTAAGAGCACAGTGGCCTCCATAATTCTCAAATGGAGGAAGTTTGGCACAACCAGGACTGTTCCAAGAGCTGGTCGTCCAGTCAAACTGAACAATCGGGAGAAGGGCCTTAGTAAGAGAGAGGACCAAGAATCTGATAGTCACTCTGACCAAGCTCCAGAGATCCTGTGTGGAAATGGGACAGAGTTCCAGCAGGACAACTATCACTGCAGCCTTCTACAATCTGAGCTTTATTCTCTGGTTTGATGAAACCAAGAATGAACTGTCTGGTCTCAATTCTAAACATTATGGATGGAGGAAAACAAGCACTACTCATCACCTGCCCAATTGCATCCCAACAGTGAAGTGTGGTGGCAGCATCACGCTGTGGGGTGTTTTTCAGCAACAGGGACTGGGAGACTGGTCAGAGTTGAGGGAAAGCTGAATGGAGCAAAGTACAGGGATATCCTCAATGAAAACCTATTCCTCAGTGCTTACGACCTCAGACTGGGCTGAAGGTTCATTTTCCAACATGACAATGATCCTAAGCACACAGCCAAGGCAACACAGGAGTGGCTTAGGGACAACTCTGTGAATGTCCTAGAATGGCCCAGCCAGAACCCTGATTTGAATCCTATTGAACATCTCTGGAGGGACCTGAAAATGGCTGTCCACCGACATTCACCATCCAACCTGACTGAGCTTGAGAGGATTTGCAAGGAAGAATTTCAGAAAATCCCCCAATCCAAGTGTGCAAAGCTTGTTGCATCATACCCCAAAAGACGCAAGGCTGTAATTGCTGCCAAAGGTGCTTCAACAAAGTACTGAGTGAAGGGTCTGAATACTTAGCCAATGTGATATTTTGGTTTTTTTCTTTTTAATAAATTTACAGACCTTTCTAAAAATCTGTTTTCACTTTGTCATCATGGGGTATTGAGTGTAGATTAAGGAGAAAAAAATGAATTTCAATAACTGTAGAATGAGGCTGCAGCATAACAAAATTGACAAAAGTGAAGGGGGTCTGAATACTTTCTGAATGCACTATATATACATATATATACATATATGTATACACACATACGCTATATATAGCAAACAGATTTGTTTATCTTTGGAGAATATTTGTTAAAGAAAATAGATTTGAGAAATATTTAGGTGTGCAAATATAGATAGAAAGGCAGCCATGAATGTTGAAAGAAGCAAAACTGGCTGTGTGCATGAATACGTTTCTGTGCACCTGGTTATATGAAAATGAGAATTGGGGACATCAGAGAAACAAAACCTGAATGCATTGAAAAGTGGATCAGGAAGAAGTGCAGTGTGGTAAAACAAGAGGAGAGAGGATCAATGCTGAAGGGGTGCTGAATGATTGTGCATTGAATAGAAAAGCGGCTGGCCAGCTTGAAGGAGACACCTTGAGGTTCTTTGATCATACTGAGAGAATAAATGAATTTTTAACTCTCAAAACACAAGTGTGAAGAAAGAGTGAAGGGTAGAGGTAGTGGGAAGATGGAGGAAGTTGTGATTGGATGGAATTGATAAAATATTTTGTTATTAATTCCATTCAACCACAAAGTTTAGTTTAGTGAACAAATGGCAGTGAAGTTGTGAGAACAAAGATATTTGGACATACATAGGTAGTCCTCAACTTAAAACTATTTGATTAGTGACTGTTCAAAGTTACAGTGGCACTGAAGGAAATGACTTATTACTGTTCTTCACACTTATCTCCGTTGCAGCATCCCCACGGTCACGTGATCAAAATTTGGATGCTTGGCAACTGGTTCATATTTACGATGGTTGCAGTGTCCCGGGGTCATGTGATCATTTTTTACGACCAACTGACAAGCAAAGTCTATGGAGAAACGGATTCATTTAACAACCGTGTTACTAACTTAACAACTGCAGCAATTCATTTAACAACTATGACACAAACGGTTCTAAAATGGGGCAAAACTCACTTAACAACGGCATCACTCAGCAACAGAAATTTTGGGTTCAGTTGTCATAAGTCAAGGACTCCCTGTAGTGAACGGTGTTGCTTTCATTTCTGTTACTTTCTGCCTTTAGGATTATGAGGATTTTTATTTTATTTTTGCTTACTATTTTTTTCTGAGTGGGACTGTGTGGCATGTGAGGGATTCTCCATTTCACCCAGGATTGGAGAAAACATGATTATAATGACACCTAGCTTTATGTCTATGAAGATTCTCAGCCATCCAGGTCATGGTTGTCCCAAAGGTGCTTTTTTTCAGGAGGCACCTGGACTTTCTAGTTTTGGGACAATCATGACATGGATGACTGAGAATCTTCACAGACATTTAGCTATGCCAGGGATAGGCAACCTTGGCTCTTTTATGACTCGTGGACGTCAACTCCCAGAATTCCTGAGCCAGCCATGCTGAGGAAAAAGGGAGAGGTTTCCAAGCTGAGCCATGCTGGCTCAGGAATTCTGGGAGTTGAAGTCCACGAGTCATAAAAGGGCCAGGTTTGAAGACCCCTGGTTTAAATATTTAAATATTTTTTCCTCACGATCACGTGATCAAAATTCAGGCATTTGGGCAGGGGTAGGAAACCATGGCTCTTTTATGACTCGTGGACGTCAACTCCCAGAATTCCTGAGCCAGCCATGCTGAGGAAAAAGGGAGAGGTTTCCAAGCTGAGCCATGCCGGCTCAAGAATTCTGGGAGTTGAAGCCCACAAGTCATAAAAGAGCCAAGGTTGCCTACCCCTGAGTTATGCACTTTGGGATGAACACCCTTGGAATGATGAGGGAGTATGCACAGATTTCCAGAACACATTGCAGACTACAGGAACCATTTGCGCTTCAGTTTGAGAGGCAGGCAACACAGACTCATCCCCAACAGCCTGCGCCTGTCTTCAACAGTGAAGGGACACAGGGCAGAAAACATCCTGTAGCCAAGAAGGCTCCACACACATTTGCCCTACTCAGGTGACCCTGAGGACACAGGTAAGCCTCCAAATGGCCTCAATGACTCTCTAAAACAGGAGTCTTCAAACTTGGCCCTTTTATGACTTGTGGACTTCAACTCCCAGAAAGTCTTAGAATTATGTAAGTCATGGAAAGGATGAGGATTGACCTAACCACTTCTGGTAGACCATTTAGGGCAGAGGCGTCCAATTCCCAGGCATGCTGACTGAGGAATTCTGGGAGTTAAAGTCCATGAGTCATAAAAGGGCCAAGTTTGAAGACCCCCATCTGCAAGGAATATAAATCCTTCCATTCCCCACCATCCAGTCAGAGCCGAAGAAGCTTCTTGGATGAGAAGCGAAATGTTTTCAAGAAAGTCCAGTTGCCTCCTGAAAAAAAAGCACCTTTGAGAATGACACTTAACATTTGAAGTACAGGTAGTCCTCGACTTATAACAGTTCATTTAGTGACCGTTCAAAGTTACAACGGCACTGAAAAATGTGACTTATGACTGTTTTTCAGTTACAATCTTCGCAGCATCCTTATGATCATGTGATCAAAATTCAGATGCTTGGCAACTGGCTCATACTTATGACCGTTGCTGTGTCCCAAGGTCATGCGATCCCCTTTTGTAAGCAGAGTCAATGGGGAAGCCAGATTCACTTAACCTTGTTACTAACTTATCAACTGTACTGATTTACTGAACAACTGTGGCAAGAAAGTTAATAAAATGGGGCAAAACTCACTTCATAAATGTCTCACTTAACAACAGAAATTTTGGGCTCAATTGTGGTCGTAAGTCGAAGACTATCTGTACCTGAACATTTAAGACAAGGGTCCTCAAACCTGGCCACTTTAAGACTTGTGGACTTCAACTCCCGGAATTCTGGGAGTTGAAGTCCACAAGTCTTAAAGTGGCCAGGTTTGAGGACCTCTGATTTAAGAGAAAAGTCTTCTCTTCATTCACACTGAGGTCTCGAATGAGAGGCTGAAAGAGTCTCTACCGCAGCAGCCTGGGAGATAAATTGGGTTTGAATGTGAAAGCAATCCAGTTGCTGATGTTTCTGTAATGTTCTCCTATCCTCTTCCAGTACATCTTTTTAAAATAAACTTTGGGATGATCTTGCTTTCTATTGGCAAGATGTATTTGGGAGATGTATGTATGTGCTTTAAATGGCTTACACAACTGTTGCATTGGGTTTCCCATTTAACAGCAAAAGGAAACTGCACCACATTTTTCAGCTCTTGTGCCGGTGAAATCTGGCAGTGTATCTGAGGGGATTAGTGTTAGCCACAAAGTGCTTGTCTCTAAATAAAAAACGTGATCTCTGTTACTTCCAAATACAAAGTCTGTCTGTTCCTGCTGCATTTGCAAGCCCACCT